CTCTTCGGCTGAATGCGCATGCGCGGAAGGAGCTGCGCGCGCATTCAGCCAGTCTCATAGGAAAGCATTCATAATGCTTTCCTATGGACGCTGGCGTCTTCTCACTGTGAAACTGCTATGTTTATAAAAAAAAGGGTTAACCCTAGCTGGACCAGGCACCCAGACCACTTCATTAAGCTGAAGTGGTCTGGGTGCCTAGAGTGGTCCTTTAAATTAAAAAGCCTGCAGGGACATACTACATTAAGCTGTAGTAGTTCTGGTGACTATAGTGTCCCTTTAAGGCTCTCCATTAGCAAAAACTAGGCCTTTTCATTAGCCTTGAAATTATTTGGAGAGAAAAAAAACCTGTTTATTAGCAAGTTTGTGCATCACTTCACCCAGTAGGGTTACATAAAATAAAACTGCATTCTCCTGATGTAGCTGCTACAGTAAAAGTGGAAAATATGCATTAAAATGTAGGATTTGACAAATTATAAAATTGTTTAACCACATAAATAATTAACTTTGTATAATTTAAAGTTGATGCCAAATACACTTTATTTGACCTGTGTACTTATATTAATTCTTTTGTCTCCACTTGGTATCCCACTGAGGGACGGCGCATGTGACTCTGAGCGAGGATTCCGTTTCCCACACTGCACGGTGCACAGAGAATGTTCTTCTGAAATGAAATCTTGCTTTCGAAAAAGCTCATTAGTTAACAAATATTGCAGTTTAATCATTGTCTGCATTGCATCTGGATAAACAGATCTAGCCAAAATGTAATTTTCTCTGTGGGAAAAAATAACATATACAAACATAATGGCATTCTGAGAAAATAGCTGACTTATTGGTAAATAAATCTCTTCTACAGGAAAAGCTATTTGTTTTCTTTTCAAAAGAAAAAAGAAAATTTTGGACATAAGGCTTATAACTGCCTACTAAATTCAGAAGAACTCTAGCAAACTAGCAACACTAGTGAGGCTACTGCAAGAGTCATAAAATTCATTTAATTTCCTAATCCATCTTACAGGTTGGATAGACAAGGGTAGAATAAACACTCTAAAAGTTTAATTCCACATACATTAAACGTGGTTCACTGCATATCTAATCGCCAGCACTTGACACATTCTTTTCAAATCACTTAATCATGTACATTTTTTTTTAATACAGATAACATTTTATATTTCAGTTGCACCTCTGGAGCATGTCTTTCTGTGACTTGGGCATTTTATTGCTCCAACAAGATATGGTTGGGGATTTAACAGGACACTTACCGACACACATGTCCATCAGGTGGCCCTAAATGCAGCCATACCAGCTGAACCAACAGTAGTTCCACCGCTGATGATAAGCAAGCGTGAGTGGTTTTCCAAGTAGCAATTGCAATTTTAAAAAAAGAATGAAAGAACAATGATATAAAACAACTGTACGGCCAATCTAAAGATCAAGTACTTCGTAAATTCTTATAAAATTTAATCATCAAAGGGATTCTATAGTGTATAATACAAATCTTTATTCCTAACACTATAGTTCCTTCTGTCCCCTCCCCCCCCAACAATAGTTCCTTCTGTCCCCCTCCTCCCCACAAACTTGCCCCCTCCTCTCCTTGGCAATGCAAGGGTTAAAAACGCAATTCCAGAGCCAATCCCCCTCAATGCTGGGTCGACGATTCGCCTCCTCAATGTCATCCCCCTCAAGGGGGCTAATTTGCAAGCGAGGTGGGCGCCCTATGCCCTCCCCATAGGAAAGCATTGCTTCAATGCTTTCCTATGAGGATTTTACTGGCGATGGATGTCCTCATGCAGAGCGTGAGTGGCTGATTGACAGCCACAATAGGCAGTCTTAGTTTTGCAATGCTATCATTGTAGTTTGTCAGAAATGGCATTGTTTTACATTGCAGGGCTAAGGGGGAAAGGCACATTGCACCCAGACCACTTCAATGAGATGAAGTGGTCTGGGTGACTATAGTGTCCTTTTACCTCATTCAGGGCCAACAATAGGCAGATCCATCCATGCCTATTCAGGGTTTTGGCAATCATCTTATAGCCTAGGCCAGCTTTATGTAGAGCAACAATTATTTTTTTAGATCCTCAGAGAGTTCTTTGCCACGAGGTGCCATGTTGAACTTCCAGTGACCAGTATGAGAGAGTGTGAGAGCGATAACACACCTGCTCCCCATCCACACCTGAGACCTTGTAACACTAACCAGTCACATGACACCGGGGAGAGAAAATGGTCAATTCGCCCAATTGGGACATTTCCACATAGAGGTGTACTCACTTTTGTTGCCAATGGTTTAGACATTAATGGCTGTGTGTTGAGTTATTTTGAGGGGACAGCAAATTTACACGGTTATACAGGCTGTACACTTACTACTTTACATCGTAGCAGAGTGTCATTTCTTCAGTGTTGTCACATGAAAAGATATAATAAAATATTTACAAAAATGTGAGGGGTGTACTCACTTTTCTGAGATACTGTAAATGAAAGTATCCAGAATATGACAATTTGCTCTTAATGAACAGGGAATCAAATAATTATGTATGCACATAGCCCTAAAATATTACTCCAATCACCATGACCACTTCATGACCAAGAGGTTATGGTGCCTGGAGTCTCTATGTGCAGCGCTTTGCTTGGAACATTGCATATACAGAGTTTAACCCCTCTGATGTTGGAGGTGTAACTCCATCTTTGTTAGCTTTATTGAGGTGTCATGAGCCAACCTCAATGCACAGAATTGCATTATTTGACTGAGTGCAGTTTCAACCAATGAATGGAGAAGTCCTTGGCATGCGAAGCAGAAAGGACCCACAGCACCGATCGGGACCCAGGTTGCAATTGGTTTACTCCATTCCCGTTAAATGGGGCCAGGTTACTCCTCACATAATAACCACTACAGCGGGCTGTAGAATTTATGATGTTTGGAGTAATCGTTTAAATATGAACTGTCTATTAAATAAGCATTTCAACTAATTGAAATGCAAATGCTACCATCTAGTGGACGTAATTATTATTGCACCCTTTCATGACACATTTAAATGGAACCTGGCTCACCTCATCCTCTGCTCCAGCAGCACTATGTCCTCATAGTGGTAGGTGTTACATGTTTGTAATGCCAGCCTTTGGTCTGCCCACAGTCTTCTTTGATTTGCCCAACTCAGGGATGCTTCCTCATACAGGGCAAACCTTCTCTTTAACACTGACATGCTAACTTCAATATTAGCATACTAGCATCTGACTCATGTCATTCTGTTCCTATATTCCCTAAAATAGCGCTGGCTAGGAAGTTACCATAGCAACCCAGTTAAAATTCCAGTTGAAATGTTGTCATTACCACTGAATGAGTACATTCCAATGGTAGAAGTCAATGTCTGTATGTGTGAATTACTGGTTTTAGCCCAGAGTATAGGATTCACATATACACCAAATTGCATATCTAGTGGATATGTCTCGGTAAGATGAAGATCCTCAGATAGGTTAAATGGTCACTCCAAGCATCATAACCACTAGTAAACTAAATCCTGCTGTAGTGGTCAGCTAGCCAGAAGTACCCTAGCTTGATTTAACGACTATGGGGAAAATCATTTTACAATAAAAGGGAGTGCCAGCTTGCCATAAGAGCATGCTTCCCAAACATCCCTATTTCGGCTGGACAGTCCCAATTTTCAGGTCCTGTCAAGCCATTGTTCCCTGCTCTCCCGATTGTGAAGACACCAGGGAAATGTCCCCAACAATTATAGCACAAGTGCATCATAAGACGCACTTGCGCTATGTTCAGGGCACTAGGACTCTGCAGGAAGTACTCAAACAGTGTTCCCTGTGTGTCTTTTATACAGATTGAAGACCTACACAAGTCTGGAATAGGCTACACGACCATCACCTTAGGGCGCCCAAGCAGAGGGGCGCAAAAATCCGAATCCCCAGCCACCGGCTAGGGATTCAGATTTTTATACAGCCGTCCGCAGCCTACCTTGCCCTTGCTCTCCTGGCTGGCTCCCTCCACAGACGGTCCAGTCCCGGAGGACGTAAAGTCTGTGCTGATAATGTCAGGAGGGGCGCGACTTTCACCTCCCCCAGAGTCCCCTGCGGTCCGATGCTGGCAGGGACGGGCTTCCCCTGCTGCCTGGCTCCAATATGGTGGTGCCCGTACGGCACAAGTGAAGTGCAGAAAGAGGGAGTGAGTCAGTGACAACAATGAGGTAAGGGAGAGAGACAGGGAGGAAAGGGAGGCAGACAGGCCCAGGCGGACTCCAGTATGGCAGAGTGCAATATCCTACAGTGAGTAGGGGGCCAGACTTCCGCTGCCCGCCCTATCCCCCTGCCTCCATCTTGTCCAAGTCCTGCAGAAGGAGACAGCAGACTTACCTGGCTGGAAGGAGAAAAGTGACCTCTTCTGCGTGCTAGACTGCTCCCCATAGTGTTCAAGTGTCTGCAGACTGCAGTCTCCTCAGATCCACCTCACTATAGACCTGGCTGTCAGCACTTGAATGGGCTAAGATTTATTTTTTTTAAATTATATTTAATTTTTGAATTGTACTCTGTATCCCCTGTCAGTAAGGGGTCAGAGTGACATGGGGTTACAGGCTCCTACTCCTTGTCACTCTTTGTCACTTTGTCCCCAAATCCCCTATTATCATTTGTCCCTCTGCATCCCATTTCTCACTCCTTTGTCACTGTGTCCCACAAGCCCCGTTTTACTTGGTCCCTAATTGTTTAGTCTTGCTTCACTGTATCTGCTTAAAGGGATACTGTAGTACTGTAGTATCAGGAATACAAAGCTGTATTCCTGGCACTACTGATCCCTCTGCCTCCCCCCTTTAAATAAAGGGTTAAATCCCTTTATTTACTTACCTTATCTCAGCGTTGCGCCTAGCGGGATCTAATGCGTATGCGCAGCAAATGCTGTACGCGCAACAAATGTCGAGCACGCATTAGACCTTCCCATAGGAAATCATTAAATTAATGGTTTCCTATGGGGAAAAATCTGTCGCTGGAGGTCCTCATACAAGGCGTGAGGACGTCCCGCATCAGATAACAGACCAAAAGTCTGTTTCGATTTCGCAAGCGCCCCCAGTGGCTTTCTGGTAGACAGCTACTGGGGCAGACTTAGTGCTGCAATGTAAACATGGAATGGAACTGCAATGTTTTACATTGCAGCACTACGTGCAAAGGGCAGTAATCCCATGCCTCTCTTAGCCTCTATGCCACTAATACCCTGTCCCGCTAGTTACTCTGTCCCCAACCTGTGTCAGTCTTTCACCGTAATACCTTATCCCCCAATCCTTTGCCACTCTGTTCGCTGTATTCTCAGGGTGGGTAGGTTGCTTAATGTTTATGTACTTTATACACAGCTAAGCTATTAATTCCACTGTGAAAATTGCAGTAAATGTGTGTGCGTGTAATTTATATAAAAAAAAAAAAAAAAAAACGGAAAAAAGCTACTTGCGTACAATTCCAAATCCTTATGTACATTTAAATAACTGGAGGTTTTTTAGTATGAATATTTTAGCTCATCTGCCTGTTAAAATTATATTAAATGTACATAGTGATTTATTGTCTGTATTGGGGCTGTGTACTATGTCATTGATACTGCCCAGGAGAAGTGAGAATTTGAGCGCAAGGCTTAATTTAGTATGTTTATGTCTGTAATTGTAGTTTTTTTTTTTAAATGTATTTATTTTTGTAAATGTTTAAGGATTTTGCCTTGTAATCACAACACAAAACATGTCGGGAAATAGTACATCACTTGTACTAGTGCAGGGCTCGACAAATGCTAGGACTAGACTAGGAATTTTGTCCTGGCGCCTGGGTGTTTGTTAACCCATTCACCAGATGCGGCTGGCCGAGGGAGCATGGAGCAGTAATCTTCATGCAGTTCTTGCTCTGTTTCTTCCCATGCTGGTTAGTGATGCATGCATCTGGAATATGACGTCACTCCGGCCCCAGCATCACTAAACAGCACGCAATGGAGCAGAGAAAGAAGGGCAGGGAGAATAGAGAGTAGCCACACCGCATCCTAGTGAAAAAATCCACTCCAGCTCTCCCAAACGTGGGTGTGCTGAAAATAAAAAATAAATAATAATTTGTGAGTGTATGACAAAATATGTGTGTGTTTGGGTTATCAATCCCCATGGCTCAGTCAATCAATCTTGATGATTTCAGCCAAGCCAATGCTTTCTCGTAAATGCGCTGCAAAACGTTACACTGCGACAATATACTCGTAAAGATGCACACTGTGCAGCACTGAACTAGGAATCACCTCTACTGGCCATCTGAGTGATTGTCACTAGAGGTGTTAATAGGCAGCAATGTAAACACTGCCTTTTCTCTGAAAATGCAGTGTTTACATTTAAAGGCCTGCATGGGCAGGCTTTAGACACCAGAATATTAAGCTATAGTGGTTCTGGTGACTATAGTGTCCCTTTAAAAATAGTTTTTTGGAAAACCTTGCTCCCAACTTTTTTAGCTGGCCCCTAGATTGCAAACAAATTTGTCAAGCCTTGCAACAAGCAGGTTTGAAATTTGAGGGATTATTGAGTTGGTGGAGAAGCAAAGCAGATACTCTGAGAGGAACACAATGAAAGGAAGGAACGGTTTGGACAAGGCTGGCCTGTTCTGGCTGCTGCAGAGAAGGAAAGAACCTGCATCAAGGAACATGACCAGAGCGAGGAAGGCAGGTTGAGCTATGGATGAAATTTCACTTTTCCTTATAATGTTATCATTCCTAATTGTGTGTGTGAAATTAAACATCATTCTTATTCTTTACATAGCTGGAAAAGTATATTCAAAATGTCAAAACTATTTAAGGAAAATAAATCATCAGGGGCAGTGTTCAGACAAAGACGAGCAGAAAAAGAGAAAGCTGGGAAGCGGATGTCTGAAGCTTTAAAGGAGTACTTGTGTAATGATATTGATGTTACAAAGTTTTGGAGTCCAGTAGCCAGATCAGCAATGTTTTCTGCCAGAGGTAGCCACTCGTTACCCAGGTGGTTGAGCCCCTGAGCATTGAGTGGCCTTCTGGTCTTAAGCAGAGATGGGAGACTGGAACAGAAAGATGATAATCGTAGTGAGGCAAGCCGAGGTCAGTGGGAAGGAGAAGCAGCAAAGTCAAAACAGTCCAAATTCAGCAACAGGAAGGAGAAACAGGAACACGATTAGAGAGTACAGGAACCACAATAATCTGGCAAAGGTACAGAGACAGGAAGTGGCTTTTATAGGCCAAGAACCAGACACCTGACCAGACACAGCTGAAGAGAGTTGTCACTGATAACCTTGACTCTACAAGCAATGGTATCAGATCTCAGGTTAATTTGCAAAAGGCAGGCTGGTGTACTGGTAAGGAAGAGGTTTAGCACCATGTAAACCAGGGTTTGAAACCCAGCAGAGTCAGTTCCTCACATTACCTCCACCTCTACCAGCCTCTAGATGCCCTATTTCCTGGTTTAGCAGGGTACTGTACATGGAAAGACTGAAGAAGATCAGGAGCATGAATATTGTCCACTGGTTCCCACGATCTATCCTCCTCACCATAGCCTTTCCAATGAACCAAATAATGAAGCTTGGTGCGGAAGATCCTGGAGTCAAGAATTTTTTCCACCTCGTATTCATCTTCACCATCCACGAGGACTGGTGGTGGGGCAGGCAAGGCTCGACCAGGGAAAGTATTTTCATGAAAAGGTTTAAGCAGTGCCACATGAAACACCGGATGTATTTTCATGGAATCCGGAAGTTGCAGACGGAAGGTGACTGCATTGATCTGAGCGATTATCTCAAAAGGTCCCATGAACTTTTGACCCAATTTATGAGAAGGAATCCTAAGCTTAAGATTCTTTGTTGACAGCCAAACCTTGTCACCAACATGATAAACTGGGGCCTCCTTTCTGTGCCTATCAGCAGCTCTTTTGTAACATTCCTGAGCCTCCGAAAGAGTCTCCTTCAACAGTTCTTGGGAATCTCGTAAGGCGGTTAGCCGGTCAGTGACTGCAGGAATGGGAGTAGTAATTGGGAGACTCACTAGAAAGGTTGGATGGTAACCATAATTGGCAAAAAATGGGCTCAGAGAAGTGGAGCAGTGTTGGGCATTGTTATAGGCAAACTCCGCCGTGGGTAGAAAATCCAGCCAGTCATCCTGCAGGTAACTAATATAGCACCGCAAATATTGTTCTAAAGTCTGGTTGGTTCGCTCAGTCTGTCCATTACTTTGTGGATGAAAAGCTGAAGACAGATTTACATTAATACCTAGAATAGAACAAAAATATTTCCAAAAATGAGATGTAAACTGCACTCCCCTGTCAGAAATTACTTCATCAGGCACTCCATGCAAGCGAAATATTTCCCGAATAACAAGGTCAGCAGTCTGTTTAGCTGAAGGGAGACCACGAGCTGGTATGAAATGACTCATCTTAGTTAACCGGTCCACAACAACAAGAATGGTAGTGTGTTCCTTAGAGGGAGGTAGTTCCACAATAAAGTCCATGGATATAGATCCCCAGGGACGATGAGGAATCGGAAGAGGCTGAAGCAAGCCAACAGGGGATGAGCGAGGAGTCTTATGTCTGGCACATACATCACAAGAGGACACATACTTCTTAACATCCTCATAATATTTAGGCCACCAAAAGGATCGGGTAAGTAGTTCTTGTGTCTTTCGGATTCCTGGATGACCTGCTGGTTTAGAGTCATGGTAGAGGCGTAAAACGTCCAGTCGCACTGATTCTGGAACAAACAGATGTTGTTGAAAAATCCAAAACCCATTAAGCATGGTCATATGAAGATCACGAGGAGGATCACGAAAAACTGGATCTTTAGAGTAGCCCTTTTTAATGCGAGACATTAGATCAGAAGGAAAGGTAACTCCTAAAAATCTGCTCTCCGGCAAGATGGTGGCCTTGGTTACTGTAGTATGGAGGGGGTCAGCTATCCTAGACAAGGCATCCGCCTTGCCATTTCTGGAACCAGGGCGGTATGAAATAAAAAAAAATTAAACCTTGAGAAAAATAGGGACCAGCGTGCTTGTCTGGCTGACAGTCTCTTAGCGGATTGGATACATTCCAGATTTTTGTGATCTGTGAGGACAGTAATTGGATGGGTGGCTCCCTCCAAGAGATGTCTCCATTCGGTGAAGGCAGCTTTTATAGCCAAAAGTTCTTTATTCCCTATGTCATAATTTCTTTCTGCTGGTAACATCTGGCGGGAATAGAAGGCACATGGATGCAACAACATCTTAGGTCCAGTCCTTTGAGACAGTATAGCCCCAACAGCTGAATCAGAAGCATCTACCTCTACAGTAAATGGCAATTCTGGCTGAGGATGTACCAAGATAGGGGCAGATGTAAACAGAGTCTTTAATCTGGAAAATGCAGTGTCAGCCTTATTGGACCACTGAAAAGGAGTCCCTTTACGTGTAAGTTCAGTGATCGGTGTAATAACGGCAGAGAAATTCTTAATGAAACGCCTGTAAAAATTGGCAAACCCCACAAATCTCTGTATATCTTTTTCATTCTTGGGGATGGGCCAGTCCAGCACAGCTTTAATTTTACTTGTGTCCATACTTAAACCTTTAGGAGTTATTACATACCCCAGGAACTGAATTTCTGTTTGTTCAAACTCACATTTTTCCAGTTTAATGTATAGGTGGTGGGTACGAAGGCGCTCAAGAACAATGCAGACCTGTTTTCTGTGATTTTCAAGATTATCAGAAAATATCAGGATATCATCCAAATATGCCACAACAAACTGATCCAGGAGATCCCGTAGTACATCATTGATTAGATGCTGAAAAGTTGCAGGGGCATTACAAAGCCCAAATGGCATTACTAGATATTCGTAATGTCCGTACCTGGTTCTGAAAGCTGTTTTCCATACATCATTTGGTTTTATGCGAACCAGATTATATGCCCGCCGTAGATCAAGCTTCGTAAATATTTTAGCTGAACGAAGTCTCTCCAAAAGTTCAGGAATGAGAGGCAAGGGATAACGGTTTTTAACAGTGATTTTATTAATGTCCCTGTAATCGACACATGGCCGTAGACTGCCATCTTTCTTTTCTACAAAGAATATAGGAGCTCCTGCTGGAGAAGTGGATGGTTGAATAAAGTCTTTGGCAAGATTTTCTTGTATGTATTCACGAAGTGCTTTCAATTCAGGCTCAGAAAGGGAGTATATACGGCCAAATGGGATAGCAGCTCCAGGTAGCAGCTCTATGGGGCAATCATAAGGCCTGTGAGGTGGAAGCTGATCAGCATTCTTCTTATCACAGACATCTGCAAAATCCCGATATTGTAGCGGAAGCTTAGTTAAGTTTGTAGCAACCATTTCATTAATTGTTGTGGTAACAGGTGTCGCCTTAGAGGGTTGACAATTCATTAAGCAGTGTTCTGAAGGAAAGGACAAAGTTCTAGTCTTCCAATCAATCTGTGGGTTATGCAGAGCAAGCCAAGGTATACCCAAAATCACTGGAAACTGTGTTGAGGAAATTAGGTGGAAAGATATAGACTCATGATGATTCACTTCCAGAATCAATTTTAAGGGCACAGTCTCATGTGTAACTGGGCCTGACGTAAGTGGAGAACCGTCTACTGTTTCCATTAACACAGGTGAAGATTTAGGGATAGACTGAATTTTATTTCCTGCTGCAAATTTAATGTCCATAAAGTTTCCGCCTGCTCCGGAATCTATCATAGCTGTAGTTGAAATTTTATTATCACCATATTGCAAAGTGATAGGCACCACCAAATGAGGCTGTTGAGTCATCATACCTTCTTCACCCTGAGCCAGAGAAAACAAGGGTTGTGTGACAGAATCCAGTTGGTCTGAAATCTGGGATTGGTGTTGAATCTGTGCACCCTCAGCAGTCATAGCTATTGTTCTTTTAGACTTGTTAGGGCAATTGATGGCATAATGCCCTGCACTACCACAATACAGGCATAAGTTGTGAGTGCGTCGCCACTGTTTTTCTTCATTGGATAATGGCCCTCTTATTAGATCTACCTGCATAGCCTCAGGTTCAGAGTCTGTAGGTGTTTGTGGGGTCGGAGTAGAAATTCTTGAATAGAAAGTAGGAGTAGCACTTGGTTTAAAAGAGCCCTGTCTTTCCAATCTTCTTTCTGAAAGTCTCCGATCAATACGGATAGCCAACCGCACAAATGCATCAAACTCAACAGGAAGATCAACATGAGCTAGCTCATCTTTTATAGCTTCTGAGAGACCCCTTCTGAAGTGGAACCTCTGGGCTGATTGGTTCCAAGTAGTATCAGTAACCCACTGTCTGAATTCAGCAGCATATTCAGCCACAGAGTGCCTCCCTTGATGTAAATGAAGGAGAGTGGCTTCTGCTGTAGCACAGCGATTGGGATCATCAAAAACTAGGCACATGGCCTCAAGAAAGTCTTTTAAATTTCCCAAGACTGGACTGTCCTATTCCAGAAAAGGGGAGCCCCAGGCCAGGGCTTCATCTTTGAAGAGGGAAAAAATAAATCCCACCTTCTCTCTTTCAGATGGAAAACGGTTAGGTAACATCATGAAATGCAAACGGCATTGATTTAGGAAACCCCTGAATTTTTTGCGGTCTCCTCCAAATTTTTCTGGTAGAGGCAAGCGGGCATCTTGTGCAGGTGTAACAGTAGTAGTAGCAGCAGCCGCAACATCATGTGCCCTGTAGCTGGTAAGCTCACTATGCATTGATCGAACTTCATTTTGCAGTTCAGCTACCTGATCCTGCAGCACTTGAATGGTCTGTGCCTGGGTCTGCATAGTTCTTGCATTAAAAGCAACCTGCTGGGCCAATGCAGAATCTGATCCGACGGTCTCCATGAAAGGCCAGATTATTCTGTAATGATATTGATGTTACAAAGTTTTGGAGTCCAGTAGCCAGATCAGCAATGTTTTCTGCCAGAGGTAGCCACTCGTTACCCAGGTGGTTGAGCCCCTGAGCCTTGAGTGGCCTTCTGGTCTTAAGCAGAGATGGGAGACTGGAACAGAAAGATGATAATCGTAGTGAGGCAAGCCGAGGTCAGTGGGAAGGAGAAGCAGCAAAGTCAAAACAGTCCAAATTCAGCAACAGGAAGGAGAAACAGGAACACGCTTGATTAGAGAGTACAGGAACCACAATAATCTGGCAAAGGTACAGAGACAGGAAGTGGCTTTTATAGGCCAAGAACCAGACACCTGACCAGACACAGCTGAAGAGAGTTGTCACTGATAACCTTGACTCTACAAACAATGGTATCAGATCTCAGGTTAATTTGCAAAAGGCAGGCTGGTGTACTGGTAAGGAAGAGGTTTAGCACCATGTAAACCAAGGTTTGAAACCCAGCAGAGTCAGTTCCTCACAACATGACTTCTCACAAAAGGAGAAAGCAAGATACTACTGCATCAGAACCAGTTTCCAATGTTGCAAGTGAACCCGTAAAAATCGATATCGATGAATCTTCAACATCATCATTCAAACAGCCCATCTCAGTCCAAGAGGCTGTTAATGTAGATGATGCAAATACTGGAAAAATACCAGAACAACAAGATGATGAGCAACCTTCCACATCATCACACTCTGTCTACCTTGAGAAGACTATTGACCCAGAATCAAATGATGAAGAAGAAAGAGAGGAACTGCAGCAGGAGGAACAATCTACTTCTTTGGCAATACTGGGTTTGTCTGATCCAGCTAATTGGCCAGCTGTTCTCACCACCTCACTAAGGGACGCTCTTGTCAGGAAAGGTCCTGCAAAGCAAAAAACTATTATTATTTTGTTTTTGTTGTAAGCTATTTGCAACTAAAGTCACTACAAGTTTGACACGTGGAGGTTATAATGACTGGAAAAACTTATCTCAAAATCTTTCCATTCATGAAAAGTCTAACTCTCATCTTGTCGTTGTAAGACACTGGAATGAACTCTCGAGAAGATTTGGTTGTGGAAAAACGATAGATGCAGCTTCCCTGAGATTGTTGGCAACTGAAATACAACATTGGCAAGATGTTGTTAAGCGCCTTATAGGCATAGTAAAATATCTTGGTCGCCAGTGCTTGGCTTTCCGAGGTAGCAGAGATACATTATACAGTGACAATAATGGGAATTATCTGCAACTTGTGGAAATGCTGGCCACATTCGACACCGTTATGCAGGAACATCTGAAGAGAATAAAAAATAAGGACATTTTCCAACATTATTTGAGGAAAGACATTCAAAACTAACTCATCAGCCTTATAGCGAAAGAAATCACAAAACACATTCTGCAGTTGTTGAAAAATGCAAAGTATTTTTCTATAATACTTGATTGAACACCAGACATTACTTTCATTGAACAAATGACTATAATTGTTCGATTTGTGTCCATCAAGGAAGGCGAGTCTCCAACTGCTGAACCAGAGAACTGTATAGATGAATAATTTCTAGGTTTTATCCAAATCCAATGTTCAACTGGAGAAGGTTTAACTGAGGCAATTTTGTCTGAACTTGAAAAACTTAAGATCCCAGTTGTTGATATGAGAGGACAAGGATACGATAATGGATCCAATATGAAGGGCAAACACCAAGGTGTTCAGAAAAGAATCCTGGATTTAAACTCGCGTGCCTTTTATTTTCCCTGCAGCGTTCAGACATTAAATCTAGTTGTGAATGATGCAACCATGTCATGCAGGGATGCTGCAACCTTCTTTTCTATTGTACAGAAAATCTATGTGTTTTTGTCAGGATCCACAGTTCGGTGGAATGTCTTGAAGAAGCACATTGGCAGACTTACGCTTAAACCTTTGTCTGACACCAGATGGTCTTCAAGAATAGATGCTATTCGTCCATTTAGGTTCCAGGTTGGAGACATTTTTGATGCTCTCTCTGAAATTTCGAGAGAGAACTCTCACACGGCAATGGCACAGTCTGATGCTGAATCTCTTTCAAAAGAACTGAATAACTTTACATTTTTGTGTCTTATTGTGTTGTGGTACAACATCTTAAATAGAATAAACTTTGTTAGCAAACTTCTCCAAAGTAGAAGTATATATCTTCCAGATGTTATGGATATTCTGGAATCCACAACCAATTATTTGAAGAATTATCGTTCTGATAAAGGGTTTGAAGATTTACTGGAAGAGGCAAAAGACCTATCATTAGAAATGGAAATAGATCCTGTGTTTTCTCCTTTTGTGCGACAAACTAAAAAAAAAAAGGATGTTTTGTTATGAAGCACTGGATGATCCGATTTGTGACCCTGCAAAAAAATTTAAAATTGAGTGCTTTTACAGCCTTTTGGATGTATGTATTAATTCTCTTGATGAGAGATTTGGGCAAATTAAGCACCACAGCAAGCACTTCCAGTTTCTTTATAATATACAAAAACTTAAAGATGTACCAAGGGAAGCAGTTATGGAGTACTGTATAGACTTGCAGAATATTTTGACTGATGATAAATCAGGAGATGCTGATCTGGATGGAGCACAACTTTGTGAGGAACTTACAATATTGGCTCCTATCTTGAGGCCTACAATGACACCTAGTCAGATTCTAGCATATGCACTTAAAAATGGCTTTGCTCCCAATGTGTCTATTGCCCTTCGCATATTGTTGACATTGCCGATATCTATAGCCTCTGGGGAGCGAAGTTTTTCAAAGCTGAAGTTAATAAAGAATTATCTTCGGTCCTCTATGTCTCAAGAGAGATTGGTGGGACTTGCAATGATTTCCATTGAAAATCAGATTGCAAAAGAGATTGACGTTAAAACTCTGGCTCATGATTTCGTAAATGCAAAAGCAAGAAGGGTTAAGTTTTTGTAGGCTACCATTCTCACTTTGTTTGTGTGCAATATCTGTTAAAGCACTTTACACTTTAGGTGAATTTGCACTTGCAGAAACCTAAAGCGTACAGTTTTATTCATTATATAAAAGTTTTTATAGTATTTATATATGTTTGTTTTAAAGCACCTTGATACTAGTTGCACTACGTCATGCAGTTTGAGTAATAGTTACTGCCGTTTACATGCACTTGAATGCATTGTTATTTATTTTTGTTTTTGTTGAATAAATGTTAATAAAATACACTTTACAAAACCACAAATTTGTTATTTTACTGTAAACCCCCTCCCCCCCCCAAAAAAAACCATGTTAAATATATAACATAACTATAAAGTAATGGAGTGGTTTTGGTGAAAAGAGCTTGTCCCTGCAGTCTGACAGATGTAAATATTGCCTTTCATAAGAAAAGGCAGAGTTTGCATTTGCTTCTAAGGACATCTCTAGTGGCTGTCAAATGGCTTTATCTCTTAAAAAAAAAAAAAAAGTGTGCATGTGTGTATCTATCTATCTATCTATCTATCTAAATATCTTTACAATCTAGTGTTTTGTCACACCTCTTAAACATTTTAGAAACTGCAAGAAAAATGTATGGGGGGAGGGTGGGTGGCAAAATGCTCCTTCGTCTGTGTAGACACCGGCCCTGCAGATTCATTACAATGCGCTGTTCCAAATTATTACGCACAGTAAGTTTCAAAACACTTTATAGGTTATAAAGAACTGAAAATTATCATTTGTTGTGTTTGCAGCATATTTACTGAAATAAAAAGCTATTTCAATCAAACTTATAACAACATTTTAACTTTTTAAACATTTTAACAGGTCACGTTACATTTTAACATAGGACCCCTTATTTGATAGCAGCTTCACAAGTCTTGCATCCATTGAACTTGTGAGTTTTTGGACATTTTCTGCTTGAACTTGTTTGCAAGATGTCAGAATAGCCTCCCAGAGCTGCTGTTTGGATGTAAACTGCCTCCCACCCGCATAGATCTTTTGCTTGAGGATGCTCCAAAGATTCTCAATAGGATTGAGGTTAGGGGAGGATTGAGGCCACGCCATGACTTTCTCTCCTTTCATCCCCATAGCAGCCATTGATGCAGAGGTATTCTTTGCAGCGTGAGATGGTGCATTGTCATCCATGAAGATGATTTTATTACGGATAGCATAGTTCTTCCTTCTGTACCAGGGAAGAAAGTGGTCAGTCAGAAACTCCACATACTTTGCAGAGGTCATCTTTACACCTTCGGGAACCCTAAAGGGGCTGACCAGCTCTCTTCCCATGATTCCGGCCCAAAACATGACTCCACCACCGCATTGCTGATGTCGCAGACTTGTTGGAACAGAGTGGCCGTCCACCAACCATTCACTACTCCATCCATCTGGACCATCCAGGATTGCACGGCACTCATCGGTGAACAGGACTGTTTGAAAATTAGTCTTCATGTATTTTTCTGCCCAATGCAGCCGTTTCTGCTTGTGAGCATTGGTTAGTGGTGGCCGAATAGAAGGTTTATGCACAGTTGCAAGACTCTGGAGAACTCTACACCTTGATGTCCGTGGGACTCTAGAGGCACCAGCAGCTTCAAATATATGTTTGCTGCTATGTAATTGTATTTTAGCAGCTGCTCTCTTGATCCGTTGCATGGATCTGGCAGAAATCTTCCTCAATATGCCTTTATCTGCATAACCCCATCTGTGCTCTGAATAAGCCACAAATTTCTTAATAGTGCGATGATCACGCTTACGTTTTTGTGAAATATATAATGTTTTCATACCTCATCCAAGGCATTGAACTATTTCAATCTTTTCAGCAGCAGAGAGATCCTTTTTCTTCCCCATATTGCATGAAAATGGTGCTCTGCTTAATAATGTGGAACAACCTCCTGTAGTAGTTTTTCCTTAAATTGGGCTCACCTGGCAATCTAATTATCACAGGTGTCCGAGATTGTTTTCAGTGATCAAAAGAGCCTTGAGACACAATGCCATCCATGAGTTAAACTGAAAAACAAAATATTTACTCTTTGTGACACTTAAATAGAATTTGCATAATAATTTGGAACAGGGTGTAGTTGCTATGCATTACTGTATAGAATGACTTGATAGTCTTAGCGAAGAATCTCATTAACTTTTACATAAAAATGAGACCGTATGTTCGTGAGTTAAAATGTCATATACTAAGCTGTAAAGATATGTTTGCATTAACGCAAACTCTTCCCTTCTGTACTGAAATTCATAACGTCTAAACAAAATAATACATTTAAAACAAAATAACTGTTAGTCTCCCTAGGTGCTCCATGCAAGATCTCACCTCGTGGAATTTCAATGATCATGAGAACGGTGAGGAATCAGTGAAAATAGGTCATTCCAGCATGACAATGACCCAAAACACACAGCCAAGGCAACAAAGGAGTGGCTCAAGGAGAAGCACATTAAGGTCCTGGAGTGGCCTAGCCAGTCTCCAGACTCTAATCTCATAGAAAATCTGTGAAGGGAGCTGAAGGTTCGAGTTGCCAAACGTCATCCTCGAAATCTTAATGACTTGGAGAGGATCTGCAAAGAGGAGTGGGACAAAATCCCTACTGAGATGTGTGCAAACCTAGTGGCTAACTACAAGAAATGTCTGACCCTCTTACTGAACTTGTTCTAAAATGATTTGATCAGTTACAATAAGGGCACCAGTGCTATCCTGGCACCATAACCACTACAACACTATGTAGTGGCTATGGTGCTTGGAGTGTTCTTTTAATGTCCTGAGTGCAGCTTGAGCATCTAATAATTTGCTTGTGTTAGCAATCAGGGATAGTTTTGTGGTCTCTTCAGAATCGGAAAACCAGAGATCCAATTTGGAATGGAGGGACAGAACCCAGAACAGGAGATATGCATATAGGTTAAAAATAAACTTGGTAGGCCAATGAATAATATATGTACTGCTTACCAGCAACCATTGTAGCTATTCTCTAATTTCTTAAGGATTGCAATCTGTACACTAAAGACCCTATGTTGGTACGGCATGTCTATTTACAACTCTATAAAGGTTGCATTCATTAAATCAGTGAGACTGCTATAACATCTTTAGTTATGAAGCCTTATTATTTCGTTGGTCTTTAAAGGATTACTCCAAGCATCATGATGACTTAAGTGATTTGAAATGCTTATGGTGCTTGGAGTCTTCATGTGCAACATTTTAGTTTTTGACCGAGAATAGACCTTAGCCTTTTCTGTGGGTCACTGTGGTTGGTAGAAAGGGAGTCTGGGGTCTTTAAAATGAAAGCCACTGTAGCTGGTTCAACTACTGTCATTGGTTGGTTCCCTCCTTAAGTGTTTTAGGAAGTTGCGACCCTTTACAGACCACCCTGTTGGGACAAGTGAACCAAGAGCCAGGACTTCAGTTAGCATCTCAGGGATGCTTCCGTGACTAAGGAATTACCTTAAAGTGAAACTCCTGTGCCAGAAAAACAATCCGTTTTCCTGGCACTGCAGGTACCCTATCCCTCCCACCCCAGGTAGCTGAAGGGTGAAAACCCCTTCAGGTCACTTACCTGAGACCCCGCCGATGTCCCTCGGCGGTGGTTTTGGGTCGGCGTCGCTCCTCCCAGTAATCGCGTCAGCCAGTGGGCAAGACTGATCCTGCCCACCGGCTGAGGAAACCTAATGCGCATGCAATGTTTTCCTATGGGGAATTGAGCAATCTTTGCTATCAATGCGGAAGTGCCCTCTAGTGGCTGTCTAGTAGACAGTCAATAGAGGTGGCGTTAACCCTGCAATGTAATTATTGCAGTTTATAAAAAACTGCAATAATTACAGTTGCAGGGTTAAGAGTAGTGGGAGTTGGCACCCAGACCACTCCAATGAGCAGAAGTGGTCTGGGTGCCTGGAGTGTCCCTTTAAGTCTGGTGCTGCTGACTTTCTGTTTTGTGCTTTTTTGAAGGTTTTGGGATTCCGTCAACTTATTTTGACATCCTAATCGGGCTTCTAAACTTGTCAATGGACAAGAACAAGGACCTGATGTGGGACCAACTCATGTCTGAAGTCTCTCAGGCCCCTTTTCCAAATCTACTTTTTACAATTTTTGGATACCTCTTGGCTCAAGAAAGGGATTTGGCCTACATCTGGGTCTCATGCACCATGAAAGCATATTTGGTTGTCCTTCAGGAGCGGGATAATGATCTATTATTTAATTTCAATTTGGTGTTATCTATCAATGCAGTGGGGTCCTATGGTTTTTAGGGAATATTTCCAGGTGTAACAATACTTACCCTGTCATTGAGCCAATCAGGAACCTCCGAAAGCGCCATGTGCATCAAACGAAATAACTGCTCGCACGGCCTGAATGCCAGCAATGAGAATGCTGCTCACATTAAGAACATGTTCTTAAAGATGGACAGAGGGCATCACAATAATCTGGCTTGGCTTGGTCCACGTCAGTCCAGCGTTCACATTCACGCATGTTTTGGCATTGCAGGCATGACATGGACCAATCAAATTACACATAATAGTATTTAAATTCCTCTGGCTCCATTTACTGTGCACTATCGTGATTTCTGTTCTCAGTACCCTTTAGTGAGTTCCTTGTTACATTGTGATATTTCTGGTACTCTGCTTGTTGTGGTCATTTCTCGTGACACGAGGGAAGTTGGTGAGCTGCCACTTGGCCCTGTTCCTAGTCTGATTCTGACCTTATATGCAACGTCACTGTGACGAATAGCCTATTTGCCCTATTTCGTTTTCTCCATTCAAGAACTCACAGTGCCATTTTGCTACCATCATTTGTGATGGAATGCGTGCATACGAAAAACTAGAGTGTATGTAGTTTATAATGCCACTACCCTGGCTCATAGATGCAGATGTATGATGGTCTCAGGACAGTGTTATATTGTAGATCCATGTTATGCCTTATTGTAACAAGTAGGATTACAAGAGGGAAATGGAACAGCCATGTTAGTTATTGTAAAGTGATGCAGAATAAATTGGTGTTTTATAAATACCAATAATAATAGTGTATGTGTAATGTGTTACTCTTTGTCTCAGATGACCTCAGCTAGCTGCTAGGCTGCCTGATGGGATTAGGAAATGTAACGAGCAAGCCATTGTAAGATAGAAACATAGAATGTGACGGCAGATAAAAACTATTTGGCCCATCTAGTCTGCTCAATTTTCTAAATACTTTCATTAGTCCCTGAACTTATCTTATAGTTAGGATAGCCTTATGCCTATCCCACGCATGCTTAAACTCCTTTAATGTGTTAGCCAGCACAGTGGGAGGTGGGACTGAGTCAACAATTGTAAAATGGTCAAGGAGACCCATGGTGTTGCAAGAGCTGGCTCTGACCATTTGCCCGTTGTAATTACTGTACGAATATACTCCTGCTTGTAGTATGCAAAAATGTGTGCCATGCCTATAAATGTGGATAAAGCTGTGTTGTCATAAACCACTTGATTGCAGTTTTCTTTACATCAAGAAGAAGCTGCATTGTCTCTTACGGTATTGTAACTATCTAAAGTCTGCTATAGTGCAATCGCTCATGGGAAAATCGATAGTGGTTTTTAGTTAGATAGAATATCCTGTAATAACCAGAGTAACTCCGCAGTGCATTCTCCTATGCCAGGGGATTAGCAATTCCTGTACCAGAATCCTATCACTCAGGGTAGAAGTTCGCCAGGCGAGCTAGAGGAAGGTCAGAACTGTTATGCCTTCGGTAACAGAGACGTCAAGACCGTATCACTTGCAACTATACTGCCAGCTAGAAAAGGCACTCTGTTTGCTAGTGAGAAAAATACATGTTAATGCAAAGAATCCCAAGGGCGATACTAGGGCTGAACTAGTCCATCTTTAGGGCTAAAGATGGCAGGGCTGTATGGTCACATTTACTTTTATTTAAACATTTGGTTATAGGCATGCAATATCCCTTGAGATGGATAATATAGCTGACTACTTGTCTCATTCACAGTGGGACTATTTCCTGGCAACTCTTCACAAGTTTGGTATCCTGGTGCACTTATGGAGCTTCGCAGCCAATGTCTACTGAGCCTGGTCACGGAGTCTGTGCAGGACCGGTGCAAGGAATTTTGCTGCCCTAGGTGGAAAAATATTTGCCACCCCATTCGTTCCACACACACACACGCTGACCCATACAGACACACACACTGACCCACACACATACACACACGCTCACGTTGACCCCCCTCTAAACACACACTGACCCATGCAGACACATGGTGACCTATACACACAGAGAGACCCATACACACAAACTCATAAAGACACATGCTGACCCATACATACACAGACCGATACATACACACACAGACACATGCAGACACACGCTGACTCATACACAAACACAGAGACCCATACACATACCAATACATACACACACAGACCAATAATACACATACAGACTCAAGCAGACTGACATACTGACAGACATTCTATGAAACACATTGTGCATTCTCTCTTACCTTCATTGCAATTTGCTCTTAGTTCCTATCACCTTTACTGCGCCTGGCGGCTGACACTTTTTTTTCAGCCCCATTATTATTCCTGTAATTCTCCCTGCCACTTGTCTGCACGTACAGGGCAAAGGGCGGGAGTGAGTGAATGATACGCCCTTGTGCTGTCACGGTGCTTGGCTGGGAGAGGGGTCCTGACTTTGCAAGCTGTGCTGAATGCCGGACCGACGTTCTACCGGGCGCTAGTCTACAAGTAAGTGCTCCCTAGCGCCTGGTAATGCGGCTAGTGGCTGCCATGGCCCACCTTATTTAAACAATTCAACTTGATAGGGGGCCAGACAAGCAGTAAAGCCACTGCCGGCACCCCCCTTAAGACGAGCCCTAAGCGGCCACCTACTTATCCTATAGGATGCGCCAGCCCTGAGTCTGTGTCATCTTCCACTTGATATGCTTATTCTCAAATCTGGCACTAATGGCTGAGCTTTTTTATTGGTGCTGATGGTGTTCATGATCATGATGAATCAGATCATTTTTACAATTCCTAACCAGTTTGAGGGAGTGAGCAATCTGGAGACCTATTGTTTCCTTATCCTTGCAGGCCTTGGGATGATTAGGAGCATTATTAGGAGTTGGAAGAAAGGCATTTGTCCTGACACCCCATTTCCCAGGAGCTTCTGCACCTTTTGTTTGCAATCTTAACATGTTTTTCTATTTTTGAAAATGATCTGTTCTGGGCTTTTTTATGGCATTCAAGGTATGTGAGCTGATGTCGTAGCATCCTATAACAAATATAAGCATGCCAGTAGGGCTTGCAAAAGGGGAATTAGATGGGCTAAACTTGAAAATGAAAAGCTCATAGTCAAAGACCAACCCCCAAAAGTTTTTTTAAGTATGTTAATGCCAAAGGTAGTGAACGTGTTAGTCCATTGGAAAGTGAAATGGGTGAGCTAATCAAGGAGGATTACAAGGTAGAAATTCTAAATAATATTTTTTTTTCATTATATATGGAAGTAAAATCTATGGCTGTAGATTTGCAAATCCCTGTTACAAAGGCCTTACAGCAAACAGGAGATTAGTTAACAAAGGATAAAGTGTTTCAGAAATTAGATAACTTTAAATTGACAGCTTAATGTAGTTGTTCTGGTGTATATAGTCAGTTCCTGCAGCCTCTTTGCTATTTGCTCCCTAGGGACACCTCCAGTGGCAGTCACTCAGACGGCCACTAGCGGTGCTTTTCAAGTCAGTGCTGCTTTGCATGGAGGCAATGAACTTTCCCCATAGAGATGCACTGATTTAATGATGATTAATTAGATGCTGAATGGCAAGTGCAGCGTTTGGTTCCGCTCCACGTCCCACCTCCTTGGCTGAGATCATCAGAATTGACAATCTCAGACAATCCAATGCTTTCCCATAGAATCTCAGCCAATCCATAGAACATTAATGAATTGATTGAGATAGTTCATTTTGAATATCTCACCCAAGGAGGTGGGGCAGAGCATAGTTACACACACGCATGCAGATTAGGGATGCACAGAAATTTCTGGCCAAAAATGGGCCTATTTTCTGCCGAAAATTACATGTGCTGTCGTGCAGTCTGTCTTGATGCACGTGGAGGCTGTTGTAACGAGTGACCTATTTGGCTGCTTTCAGCGGAATCAAAACCCAGGTTGAGACCCTTGGGCCATCCCGTGTGTGCTGAGCTCTTGTGTGAGGCACAATTGAGGCTGCCGGACTGAGCATCTGATCGCACCAAGCGAGAATCCCACTTGCAGCGAGGATCCTGCCCGCCATGCTGAACGTGAAGAACAGCAAGGGGAGGAAGAACAGCAGCGGGGACGAGCAGAACGGGGCCGTGGCAGCAGGAGGGACGGCGGCCACAACGATCTGCCCAGGAGCCGCGGCCACAAGCTCTGCAACTGGACGGTGTGCAGACACCAAGAACAGTAAGATTTGCCTCTGGGCTAGACATGGTTAACCTGGCATGCATTGACTGAGAGCCACTGAAAGCCCCGGGCACAGCTGGATGGGGATCACATGTCTATGAGTGGATGGGGGGCACATTTCTATAGGTGGATGGTGGCACAGCTCTCTAGCCAGATGGGGAGCACAGTCCAATGGGGGGCACATCTTTCTGGCTGGATGGGGAGCATAGTTCTATGGGGGGGCACAGCTCTCTGGTTGGGTGGATAGATTGGCTTGTTTAAAGTCACAGCTTGATGTCATATAAATACTTATCATTTTAAAATCATTTGGATAAAAAGTCATTTTCAGTTTTCAGCCAAGGGCATCCTGAATTTTCTGTTCCAGCCCATAATTTTGATTTCAGTGCATCCCTAATGCAGATACATAGATACAAACACTCACACACATAGGTACAGACACAAACACTAACACACGCAGATATAGACATACAGATAAAAACACTGACACGTGAATATACACAGAAAGTGTTTTGCTAATATGAGGGGTACAATTTATGAAAATGGGCTGCCAAGCGGAACACGCGTGAATAATAGTCCTGGAACCACTGCTCTAGCATGATATTACTCAGAGCATATTGATATTCAGTATTATTCAGAGCAGCTGCACATCATGGGATTGTAAAGCAATATTACGCCAGATTGCGCAGTCAGGGTGAGGCTGCATTCTGCATTGTGAGCATCATCTTTACCATCCCCAGCAGGGTAAACAGAGTCACTTCCGGGTTTAAAGGCATGCACCTTTTTGTGCATCACGTGCCTGTGTTGTTGAAGTCACGTGGCTTCCAGTCTGGGAGTTCCCCTTCAACCAGTCAGAACTCTGCTTTTCGACCAAGTAGCGACCGCACACACAGGTCAGGTGACGTGAGTCGTGTGTGGGCGTGGTTTCGGATCCTGTGAGTTACTGCAGGTAGTTCAGCTGGACGCTCCAACTGCCACCGGTGCGCGAGGACCCTCCGAGGGGCACGTGACGTGTGCGGCAGGGTGAGATGGCGGCCTGGGGGGCGGAGGAAGAGGAGGAGGGGGGGATGTTATGGGGCAGCTCTCCCCGTGTCCATGCTGTGCGCTCTCTGTCAGTGTGCGCTGTCACAGCATGTGATGTCATGGCTTCTCAGCAGGAAGGGGGTTCCCAGCTGGGGGTTTACATTGTGTGTACACTGAGTGCCTTCTTTCCCTGTGGTGTCACAGTGTCCCTGTCTGAATGGCCATTTATTTATTGTTTTTCTCTCGGTGTGTGCAGTCCCTCAGCCCGGTAACCCAGCTCGGTAACTCAGCTCGGTGACCAGCTCGGTAACTCAGCTCGGTGACCAGCCCGGTAACTCAGCTCGGTGACTCAGCCCGGTAACTCAGCCCGGTAACTCAGCCCGGTGACTCAGCTCGGTGACCCAGCTCGGTGACTCAGCTCGGTTGCAGTTTCTATATTGGCTGACAGCATGTGATCACCTTGCTCTGCTCCTGCCCTCCATGTGACTCCCAGATTTATTCTTCTCTCAGTTTCAGGTTCCCAGTGTGAGGCAGGGGGCTGGGAAGACAGTCACAGACTGGCTGACATTTAGTTTATTAAACTTTGGCACAAGCTGCTGTAAATCTCCTCATTAGATGGAGCGCAGACAGTGTGTGTGCCTCTACCCCTGCTGTTTAGTTTCAGCAGAGATTAACCCCTTAAGGACAGAGCCAAATGTACACTTTGTGATCAAAACAAAAACTGGAATTTGCTCACCGCTGTCACATTAAGTGCACCCACACTTATTATATATCATTTTGTTCAGGAGAAACAGGGCTTTAATGTATCATTAACTATTCATGCATGGAACATAATTTCTAATGAATAAAATTTAAAAAAATGTGAGAAAATAAGATTTTTTTTAATTTTTTTTTTATTTGTATTTCCGTCTGACATTTTAGCTGTGAATGTCATAATACTGTTAGGTTTTACTGCAAAAAAAATGCACATATTTGTAATCAGCGATGTCTCACGAGTACAACAGTTCCCCACCATTAACAGGTTTTATGGTGTTTTGGAAAGTTACAGGGTCAAATATAACACATTACATTTTCAAATAGAAATTTGCCAGATTAGTAATGTTACCTTTGAGACGGTGTGTTAGCCCAGGAATGAGAATTACCCCCATAATGGCATACCATTTGAAAAAGTAGACAACCCAAGGTATTGAAAGTGGGGTATATTTAGCCTTTTTAGTAGCCACTTAGTCACAAACACTGGCCAAAGTTAGCGTTCTTATTTGTTTTTGTGTGAAAAAAGCAAAAAAACTAATATTTGGCCAGTGTTTGTGACTAAGTGGCTACTAAGAAAGACTGGACATTCCCCATTTTCAATACCTTGGGTTGTCTACTTTTGCAACTTGTATGCCATCATGGGGTTAATTCTCATTCCTGGGCTACCATACGCGCTCAAAGGCAACAACCAATCTGGCAAATTTCAATGTCAAAAAAATGAAATGTAAGCCTTATATGTGACTCTCTAACTTTCCAAAACACCATAAAACCTGTACATGAGGGGTACTGTTATTCTCGGGAGACTTCACTAAACACAAATATTAGTGTTTTAACCCCTTAAATCCGCAGGGCGTACTATTACGCCCTGCAGGAGCCGGCTCTAAACGCCGGCGGGCGTAATAGTACGCCCTCACTTTAATGGCCGCCCACGTGGCCGGCGCTATTCGCCCGCTGCAGATCGCGGTCGGGGGGGATGCCCGGCCCCCCAGGCAACCCCCCCTGTGGCCGGGGACCGCGATCTGCAGTCACTGATTGCAGTGACAGGCTGTCACTGCGATCAGTATTTAACGTGTGTCAGCCGATTTCAAATCGGCTGACACACGTGGCCGGCGGCTTTCTGCAATGCAGATCGCGGTCGGGGGACTTACCTGGCCCCCCAGGCAGTCCCCCTGGGGTCAGTGACCGTGATCTGCTAGCTCTGAGATCGCAATGACAGGCTGTCACTGCGATCTCAGAGCGCTCTGATCGCAGTGACAGCCTGTCACTGCGATCAGTGTTACATGTCAGCCTATTGGCTGACACATGTAACTGGCACACAGATCCCCCTGCAGATTGGAAGGGGGGAGTGCTTGTACCACCCAGGCACTCCCCCCTGTGGCCAATTACCCAATCTGCAGGAGGTGATCACAGTGACAAGCAGTCACTGTGATCACTGATCCTGTGTGTCAGCCAGTGATGTAAAATCACTGGCTGACACTGTCTCTGCCCCCTGTCCTGTAAAAATAAATAAAATATTAGTAAAAAAAAAAAAAATTACAGTTAAATATAAAATATACTTAGATCATATATATTATATATATATATACACATACACACACACACACACACACACACACATTTACACATACACGAAGTGTATTTAAATATTAATATATATATAATTATTTATATATATTACTATCAAATTACACGTAGACTAATACTGATTAAATATATATATATATAATTATTGTTATATATATATATTTATATATAATAAAAAAATGTAAATACGTAAAAAAAATAAAATTACAAAAATAATTAAAAATAAATAATAAAAAATTATATAGATGTTTGTTATTTCGTTCTAACTGTATTGTGATATTAATATATATATATTTATATCAAAATACACGTAGAACGAAATAATATATATCTATATACATAAATATATACATATATATCACTAAATATATACACCTATATATAAATAAAAATATTTTAAAAAATTATATATATATATGTATATATACACATATGTATATATATACATATATTAATTCTACACATATATTTATGTAATATTTTTACATAATTAGGTATCCTAATTAATTACAATTAGTGGGACCTGCCTGACAACCCATGCCGAAAGTATAGGGAATTTAATTTGCTAGCACTATATTTAACCCTATAACTTTCCAAGACACCATAAAACCTGTAAATTGGGGGTACTGTTTTACTCGGGAGACTTCGCTGAACACAAATATTAGTGTTTCAAAACAGTAAAATGTATTACAACAATGATATCGCCAGTAAAAGTGAAGTTTTGGGCATTTTTCACGCACAAACAGCACTTACATGGATGATATTATTGCTGCAATACTTTTTACTGTTTTGAAACACAAATATTTGTGTTCAGCGAAGTCTCCCGAGTACAACAGTACCCCTCATGTACAGGTTTTATGGTGTTTTCAAAAGTTACAGCGTCAAATATAAGGCTTGTGTTTCATTTTTTCACATTAAACTTCGCCAGATTGGTTACGCTGCCTTCGCGGATTCTATGTAGCCCAAGAATGAAAAATTATATGAAGAATATTTGTAATAGAGACAACCCAAGGTATTGCAAATAGGTATGTCCAGTCTTTTTTAGTAGCCATTTTAGTCACAAACACTGGCCAAAATTGGCGTGCTTTTTGC